ATGTCCTCTTTTTGGCCAGATTAAAGTTGGACTGTCTTCTCCATAAGAGCATAGCTTTAATAGAAGAGGCAAAGCCCATGTTCACCATGGAAGAGCCTGTTGTCACATGTTTAAGATATTTTTCAAGGACAAAGATGGGACATATCCTTTCAAGTGGAAAGGATGTGCAAATCTTCAGCTAGACCTGGTGCAATGCGTGAAGACAATTCTCCATGTCCACCTACTTCCATATGCCTTTGCCAGCACCCACAAGGACCCCATGTCCTGTCTTACTCCTATCTTCTTACCTCAGGCAAGGTCCCGATACACCACAACAATGCTAAGCAAGACCTCAGACCCTCATCTTCAACAACCTTCCCTACTAGCTGATCAGCAGGAATTGCTTGCATGAAAACACCTATTGCTAATCCGCAAATGTGAGCTGTCAGGGTAAAAAGCAAGTTGCAATTCGTGGCACTACATGACCTGGACAGAGGCAAGTCTACCCGTGCAGTTCCTGCTCAAAGATGATTCTCCATGTGGAATTCTCAATCTGGTTTATCAAAGCAGCCCACCTCCTCCTCCTTCCCTCCCCCCCAAAATTTTTAGACAGCTAGCACCGGGTACTATCAGCAGCACACGTGTCTCTCTACAAAATCCTCAAGCCCAGTACTGAAAGTCACAAACAAGTAAGAAGTGCAGCTGAAGAAGGGAGTGACCTACTTTAAATGCATCCCAATGAAAAATGAGCAAGTGTTTTTCAAAGTGAACATGGCAAACAGTCTGTATAACAAACGACTGTTGAGACAGAAAATAAGTCCCACTTTCTATATTTTTTTAAAATGGATGAATGGAAGAGAAACTAACTGGAACACTTTCAAAGCAAAATCTGTTTGAACTTCAAAGCATTAAGTGCAAAAGCAACCCATTTCTATAAAATGAAGCTTATACAAAGGAGTTGCCTGATTTCATCTACTGCTGCCATTGCAAAAGTAAATGCTACTATATCAGCATTCATAAACAGGATTGACAGACTAAGAAATGTCATCCTGCACACTGAAATCTTGAGTGTAAACCACTCTTTGGATTTAAACTCTCTGTGCTCAGAATTCCTCAAGGACATTCAGCTCACACTGTCAATTCAAAGTTGCAAGTACCAAGCATCTTTCAGTTTCAGGTCCTCAGCAAGGATCACACAACTAAGTAAAATGTAACCTTGGAAGATCCTGACTCCTTCTTACACACACTCACACACACTCACACACACAGTGACTTTTGAGTTTGTTTGTTTTGATCTTATTTAAGAAACTAAAAGAAAGTCCCAAATATTTTGGTAGTAGATACTTCCAAGTGCTCTTGATCATTTAATAGATTTGCAGTATGCCTACAATAACAGCATTAGTTTCAACTCAAATGCTTGTGAAGTTTGGCACAGTAAGGCAAAAGAGAGGGCATAATAAGTAGAACATTTACTAAAATTCCAACAAAGCAAAATTTTTGTAATATGGGTGAGTATCAAAATATTTCTTACTGAATATCCTCTTCCTTCATATAATACTGTTATGCTAATCCTGATTTTGGAAACACTTTACCAAATGATATAGCTTGGGCTATACAAGACTAACAAAAGATTTTAGTCTTTAAAGAATGTACAGGCTTAGAACCTAAAATTATTAAAATCTTTTTCCAAGAGAGTGTAGAAAATAAGCTTTTAGCTGAAATAGACTCTGAACAAAACTCAAAAATCCACAACTCATCAATGTTGTTACTTTCAGGGAAGTAACAAATAATCTTCCTAAAGCAAAGACAAAAATATCATTTTTACAGCATTTTGGAAATGTACTAAAGGGAAGATGAACAGGCAAACATTGAGTAAGCCATCCTGGGTCAAAGTAAAATTCTGTCTCAGACAGAATACTGTCTCTAACAGGGGCCAAACACAGAAGAATATGAATAGAGCAAACTTATATCAATACTGTCAAAGGATATTGCCACAACACTGAACAGCGTACAGTTCAATAATCAGTATATTTTTTTATTGGCAGTGAAAGGATTTCCCTAGTGTAAACTTGCCTGGCTGCTTATTGAACCAAGGTAAGTTTTCAGCATCCACAGTATCCAGTGGCCATGAGATCCACCACTTAAATACGCCCTGTACTGAAATGGTCTTAACTCCTGTTGTTCATCTTTGACCTGCTGGCTTTGCTTGATGCACCAAAGAAAACCTCCAACCAGGTGTTCCATGGCATATACATCCCCTGAATCTGTCTTAGCCTCACTATAGGGTTTACAAGGAAAAGAAAATAGACACCAACATTTTATCTGGAGGATTTTTAATCACTAGGGTGCACAGAGCCAGTACTTTCATAAAGCTGTAAACTGCAACTGTAACAATTCAATCAGATTTCATCTTTCTATGTGCAGCTTAATGTTTTCTCCCCTAGCCCTATGTGCATTTATTCATCTAAACTGAATTTCATCTGCCATTTAAATGTCCTATCAGTCCACTAATGTCTTTCTCCAATAACTCATATTGCCTTTAAAAACCCTCTATAAGCAAATATCACTCTCCAGCCCCTTATGTATGAGTATTCTGAGCAGCATGGCCCACTGAACTGATCCCTGTGGAATCCCACTGTTGAAAGCTGACTGTTTACTCCTAGCCAAGTTTTTAGCCTTTTTCCTGCTAGCAGGAGCTTCCTCCTCTTCTCTCCTTTTCTCCCATGACTCCTTAGTTGGCAACACAAAAAAAGAACTACTAGCTGCCATGGCTTAGGGATTTGCCAGGCACACTCTGTGGAAAAGGCACTCCCATACTGGGCAACCACTGTCCAAATACATGTCATTGCAGTCTAACAAAAGACATCTTCCAGTCCCTGTGCTTGTTAAAGACATTTCATGATAGTACCACCTGTTACTTAGTTTATTATTTCAACTTACTGCATCTAACAGGATGATATGCCCACATTTTTCAGCCTGATCCAGATATGTTTTCACCATCACTAACCTAAGCACTGTGTATTCTTTGTAGATGTACTCAAAATCACCTCCAACATTAAAAGGTTGAAGACAAGATTACCAAGAGGTTACAACACAATTTTATATTACACTTAGAAGCCAAGAGAAATTGTTGGATCTCTTTTGGATTTGCTAAGACACACCTGAGCTGCTAGAGGGGTCTGAGATATGCAGCATCACTCTGGATGGTAGCACATAATGCATGGATCTCCAGGATAGCCTTGGGACCTGCAGACTAAGATGTAGCTGCCAAATCCTTGAGTGCAGTTCCCCCCCAGAGTGTGCACCACCCTGAGTTCTTCTTGCTCCCATACCTACGCCATGGTATTTGTTTAAGATGGTTCTTATCTCCTATTTTCTTCCTACTTTTATTTGAAATCTTATTTCCTGATTCCATCCAATCGCACAGTAGGTTTAGTGGCTTACTTCTCTGCACTAGTAGGGTGTGGTCATTTCTTATCCAAACCCTCTGTTGGGGTTTCAGCATCTACTGTCTCACCGTGCAAGGTAGAAAAACCCCACTGTACTGCAGCTTTTGTTGATTCTGCCTTCCTCAGACAGGAAAGTTCACATTTTTTACCCCTTCTCCCAAGCTATAGAATAAATACATGATGCATCAGCAACACAAACTCTTCAAAAATTAAGCCCACAGTCTCTGGCAGGCATGCTAAAAGGACTCTTGATAGACCACTGATAGCAGTATCAATACAGGTGGCAGAGTTGCTACCTACTGCTGTTGCTCAGCAGCACACACTTCTGTGTTAAGTCTGAAAACAAAACCAACATGACTATTTCCTCCTTTACGTTTTTATGTTCCTGCATAGGTGTGTAGTGAAGCACAAGATGGAAAAAGGTACACAATCCCATGCCTATTTAAATGTGGCTAGCATGAGTAGCAATAGTGGCAAAAAGGCAGCAGCAAATACTTGAGACCCAGCCAGCAAGTGAAGAATAATGCTATATTGTGTTGCTACAGCCTTTCCTACCACTGCTAGTTACAGTATGGCAATCACAGGTGTTCTTTGTAGGAGTACCTTTCATTGCAGGTCCTTCCTGCGAAAATACTGTACCAAGGCAACCATGTTATTACCTGCAGACTTCCTATTGTCATCCAGGATTTTAACAGTTGATTGTTGTCAAAATTAACAATTACTGTTATCTACTGGTTTACTAACTAAAATGGTCTAGTGTGAGACCCTTAATGAAACTTTCAGTTTCCTCTTTTTTTCTTTTTGAATGTTAATTTCTACCCACAAATGCAGCATAAACCAACAACTGCATTTAGAAAGGGAAAACTGAACGTTAGATATTGGCAACAGCATCTTACGCAGGGGTTCAGTTTGGAAAAAAAAAAAAAAAGATAAAGAAAGAAAAAGAAGAAGAAGAAGAAAAGGAGCAGCTGAACACTTGGGACCTTTAACTTGCCATGCAGAAGCATCAGGGCAGTAGAGCAGAATTCATGAATGAACGTGTACCAGCTCATTCGCCTGCGCCGCGCTCCAATGGAGTGGCTCTGCTTGCAGAGGCCTAATCACGGCTCCTGTCTTGGGTGGGAGTTTTGTCAGCCCGAGGTCTGAGGGTGCTGGCACGGCGGCAGGGACAACAGCTCTCGCATGAAGCGAGGCTGCGAACAGGCAGGCATTTTAGGGCTCTCACAGCGATGCCGACCACCCCCCACCCCCTTCCCGATGCAGAGCTGGGTCTGGGCTGTTCGCGTGGACCCGCGCTTACCGAAAGGGTCTGACGCCTTCCCCTGGGAACCACCGGTTTATTTGGGGGGGTTGGGGGGGGAGTCTGCAGATCGCGGTCCCTAGGAGGCATCGCGTCCCTCCCGCATGCCGCCAGACCCAGCGCGCCCCCCCGGTGCCGCTCACGCCCGCCGAAGTTTGGCAGCTCCCGAGGTGGCAGCGCCGCGGTGCCGGCCCGGAGGGGACCCCGACACCCCTGTCCCCACCCCCGTCCCCTTCCCCGTCCCCATCCCCATCCCCAACCCGCCTCCTCACCGTCCCAGCTCGGACTCCAGCTCGAAGTAGTGGGCCAGGGTGTCCTTGTTGGAGCCGTCGATCCAGTAGTCGGGCGCGGCGCCCCCGGGGCGGCCGGCGGCCGCGGAGCCCGAGGAGGAGGAGGAGGAGGACGACGAGGAGGACGAGGAGGAGGAGGAGGAGGGCATGGTGACTTTCAGCATGCCGGGACGCCAGGCGGGGGCTGCCCCCTCCTCCGCACCGGCTGCAGAAAGCAAGAGCGACAAGGCTGCTGGCGGCGGCACCTCGCCTCCCTCCCTCTCCGCTTCCCTCCCTCCCTTTCCCTTCTTCCTCCTCCTCTTCCTCCTCCTCCTCCCTCCCCGCCGGGCCGGGCCGGGCTGGAAGCAGAGGCGGCGGCAGCGGCTCCCCCCAGCCCTGGGGGGGGGGGCGGCAGGGGGCGGCCGCACGGAGCCGCCCCGGGGCGGGGGTCGCGGAGCACGGAGCCGCCCACGGGCGCCCCCCGGCCCGGCCCAATTTGGGGAGAACTTGAGGAGGGGAGAGGCACCGGCACGGGGTCGGGGAACTGCCGGGGATGGGGGGGGGGGGGCAGACCGGGAAGGATGCGCAGCCCGTGAGGCACCGGGGGTGCTGCTCCGTTTTCCCGGTTCCAGGTGTGGGATCGGTGTTCGTGGGGCGATAAGGGAGCTGGGGGGTGCCCTGACTGCATCTGCTCTGGTTTGGGGGAGGTGGGTGTGGAGGAAGACCCTGGGCAAGACGAATCTCAGTGGGAAAGAGCTCAAACGCGGTGTCCAAGCCGGTAGAAGGCAAAAATAGGGCTTCACTTCCCACCGCTGAACTACAAGAAGCCATAAAGAAATAAAATTGCCGTGCTGCAATGGCATTCTTAACAGGTTTTGGAATCTGCAGCTTACGAGATGCATGCAAATATATTGTATTCCTGCCTGCAAAAACCTTGGCCAGAAGTGCCTATATACGGGCAGTCGCTATCGGTGTCGTGGTGGCATAAAGCAGCAGCAGTTGTGTGTGCCTCGCATGCATAGTATGCCAGATCAATCCTACTCACATCCTCTCCATGCTATTACACCCACTCTTACTGTCATGCAAGCACAGGCAGGAGGTAAAATGGACCATATGCAAGCCTGTGCAGCAGAAGTGACAGAAGTATTGTCCTCTAATTTTCAACCACAATCCGCTAGCCTGTTTTTAAACACTGTATCCTTGCTCAGACAAACCACGGTATCCTGTTCAGTGTTGTGTTGACTCAAGTATGTTAATGTTTCCCAGCCTGTTTTGTTTTGTTTTCCCCCTATAAACAAGTCTGTCTCTTATTGTCCCCTAGCTTTCTTCCAGAACTGGGGAACAAGCAATCTTAATTTTGAATCTCTTAATTCCTCAAAGACCTAATAAAAAATAAATTTATATAAATAATAACAATAAAAAAGCTCTTATTGATAATCTCTCTACTATCTCAACAAGATAATAAAAAATAAATAAATCTGCTAATCTAGTCTTTGGTACTGGTAGGAAAGGATAAAAGAGATAAATGAGATAGACAAAAGAGAGATAATGCCCTTTCCTCTCAAGTTTACTTTCTGCTGTTTTCAAATTACAGTGGAGATCCCCATCACAATTTGAGATTTTATCATTTTCAAATTAAGATTGGGAAGGCAGCAAAAAAGTAACTCAAAGTCCTGTTTTGCAAACCAAGTTTTTTGCAACCCAGTTTAATAGGAACTCCAAGCCTCCCTTTAGATTGAGCGTGGGCCCTGAGTACTTACCACAGCCGGGCTGCGATCAGCCCCAGAGCAGCAAAGAGGCAACCTTCCCACTGCTCTTCATGCCTCCTCCCAACTCCCCACCTCACTCCATCTCTTCTGGTCAGCACGGAACTTTTCTTCATAAAGCCTCAGTTGCTAGGTGACATTTCCTCCTCTTTTCTTATGGCATTTTCTGACACATCTCCTGGGAGCAGAAATAGTCGCTGATCATGAGAATCACACACAGACACAAAATAGCCAATTGGCACAATAGAAAGCAGCCATATGAAATATCGTTTTTTTGTTTAGTCAAGTATCTAACATGTTCTGTAATAAAAAGGTACACATATTTCTAATATTCCTGTTTGTGTTTTTGTTTTGTGTTGTTTGTTTTGTTTTGCTTGTCAGTTTCATGGTTTATCCAGGTATCTGCACTAAGATTTGAATCCCGGATGTTCTAGATATACTTTACCTTGGGCCTTTATGTGTTAATGGCATAACACAATGGATTTTTTTTACTTATTTTTGTGCTGGACCAGCTATGTGGTACTGGATGATCTTCAGAGGCCCCTTCCAATGCAAACCATTCTGTATGGGAGGCATTTGACTTTCCTTAAAATAATTCCTCAACGTGATTTGGATCATACCATACTGACAAGCTAGTCCTTTAAAACTGACTAGACCTTATTCTCTGGGAGCTCCACTTTCTTAAACAAAAATAAAATAACAGTATATAAATATGCAATTAAAAAAAGTATTCAGGTTGAACATTGCACATGACCAGCATATGAATGCCTTCCTCAGTCTTCAGAGAGCCAGTGGCATCATTTCAGATGTGCAGTGCTCCACTCATCTCTGAGCTATGTTGACAATCTGAAGATTTGCTCTGTCATTACCCGACTTGAGACTAAACAATGGAGAAAACCTCATTTATGTATTTGTGTGTGAAATTTTATTTTGGAGCCACAAATACCATAATTTTCCTGCCAGCAAACTGAGGTTATGAACTCAGAGGAAAAAAGCAGGTCAAGGAGGCATGCAACTTTTGCAGAGGAAGCAGTTTTTATGAACACAAAAACATGTACAAGAGATGTACAAATTCCCGTCCCTGTCCTACCACCCACAAATTAAATCCAAAAGAAGGAAGTTAATTTAGTGTGCCGGTGGAGATGGGGTCAGTAATCTTTCTGCCCTTCCAGTGGCTGTGTTTCTGTTTTGTGAATACTCATGTTCTTTTATACAGACATTACTGCGTCAGATGCAAGCAATACACACTTTACAGCATTTCCTTCAAAAATAAATACAGGACAAGAACCTTTTAAACTTGGCTTCTGACATTTTTGTACAATTCAAGTAGCTAGACCTTTGGTAGAAACACAAAAAGAAAATTCTTCACAGAGTTTTGAATAGGTTGTTCACAGTTTATGGGCACCATTTCAAAGAGTAGTATGTTAGCCTTGCCAGCTTAGGTTAGCATTGTTTCCTGAACAAACTGTCTTGAACCAGCATATATCTCCAAGTTACTTAAAAAATATTTGTTTGTCCATTATATGCTTTTTAAAATGTATTGTGGTTGCTTATTGAAGGTATGTGCTGTCCACATCTGTTTTAGGTACATAGACATACAAAATAACAAAACTCTCAGACTGTGTCATCATTAAGGAAAATTCCTCTTAAAGCAGTTTGCATATAGTGGAGCTTCCTCCTTTGCATAGATAATCCAGTACAGAACCCATGTTTGCACACATGCTAGATCTGATCTTTATCTGCTACTCATGTAAATCAAATTGGGTCTTCTGAAAGAGAACTTACTCAAACTGTGCACATATAAGCCAAAAAGGTCAGATTGTGGCAAATCCCCCAATTCTCTTCTTCTTCCTTTCATGGATTTTCTGTGCTGAACACCAAGCCTCACATTACGTTTTAGTTTCTGTAATATCTTCCATCTTGTACTGAACTTCCTGTACCTCTGGATGACTGTGCAAGCCTTCATAGTATGCCCATCAGTTAGGAATGACAAAACCTTCAGTCATTGTCTCTATTTATGTAGAAGAAGCCTTGTGACTTATATGGAACAAGTTTATCATAATTTCTTATCATCTTTCATGCTGTTTTATATGTAAATGTGAGGCTACTTAATGATTAATAGAGCTGCCGGATAAAGACAGCATCTTTTGTCAGCTGTTTATGTGAGTAGATCAAATCAGGTAAGAATGAGCACAGGGTGCAAGGAGAGGCCAGAAGAGAAGTGATGGCAGGGAGATTTATTTTTTTTTTATGCCAAAGAACAAAGAGGAGGAACAGACTGTCATGAGCTGCTTCATAGAGTGGCAATAGGGGAGAAGGAGGACAGCAGCCACATGCCCTTTTCTATCAATCTCTCCTCATGTTTTTATTATTATTATTGTTACTAACGTCTGGGGAAAGCAAATATGTAAATGGGGATAAAAAAAGTAACTCCCTGAGGAAGTACAATTAGAAAACAATGTGATTCAACCATCCCTGAACCACGTTCTTTGTGCCCCATGTATCAACAGGATCATTTTATAGTCACTGTTAGAGGATAGACAGAACAGTTATCTTTGCAACATAGTCACAGCACCTATCTTTCATGTCCCTCTTTAAATGATTTAATCGATCTTTTGATTTCAAGAGTGTAGAGGGATTCTTGAAGCATTCTCTTTCATTTTCAGGATCAAAGAGTATCCTTTGGTTCACTAAAGAAAACAAAGCAGATCCACAAGCCTTCACGAGTCATTAAATCCAAATAAAACAATCCGTTGAGGGCAGGCTTCATAAACCACAAGCCAGCCAGCAGGACCCACAGAAGATACACACTGCCCTTCCTGAACGAAACCCACTGAACTGCTTCTGCCTCCCTACTCCCTGCTCAAATGAGCTCCAGCTGGATATTCCCTGCCATCATTAGCAGTTCAAGAAATTCCTCTAGGACAAAATGGATGCTTGCTTTTTTATGTGCAGATGTTTTTGGTTTGGTTGTGTGGATTTGTTTGTTTGTTTCCCAGAATGCAATTATGCAGTTTAAACAACACTCCAGCCCAGGGTACAGAAATCAAACAAACAACAACAAAAACACTATGTAGTGAGCTCTAAAATGTGTGTAAGAATACAAACTCTCTCAGGGCTCAATATGATTCCAGTAATACAGAATGTTGAAAAGATGGGAAATGTTACTAAAACAGACACAAAGAGACACTTTTAATAATATTAGAAAATTTGGCAATGTTTAATATTCTTCCTTTCCCTTCATAGAAGAAGAAGACAATTTCACCTTTGTTTTGGTATTTGGAAAAAGACATCTAGATACAGAAAATTATGTAAAAACTGCAAGAAAAGGCAAAGTTAGCAGTTTCTGAGAAACAGTCATTCATATGAGGTAAACTCACTTTCAGATGGTAGGCTAGGTTCCAACCTCAATTCTGTAG